GTCAGAGATTGCCTCATCAAAGGATTGGTCTGGCGAGCTCTAGCGTACCCATACTCTCTGCGCTGGACTCAAAGCAAATCTATCGCCACTCGTGTATACCGCTTTCAGAAGCTTCTACATCGACAGCAGGCTGAAAGCGCTCTCTGATATCTGCTCTCACTATAAGCTTAGAGAAGAGCCGATACTGATTGGGCTTCATCCTGCTTCTTGTGACACGGTGCGTCCTCGCTCGCACGTGCAATAGCGCGTCAAATTTGAGTTTGATGTCATGTTAAACCACAGCCTGCTAACACCAATCTTGTCTCATCCACCAGCATTGAACTGCCCGACTCCAAGAGCCGAGCACAGCATGCCATGCCGCGCTGTATACAATTGATGAACCTGAGGACCAATGTGCACAAAATGGTGGTTCAACACGACGCAGCCTCATTCGTGTCAATGTAAGTTGGTGCCCCATCGCGGCCCATCACAACGTCTTGGAATCGGTGCTGATACTGTGTTTCCGCTGCCGCGCTTAGTAACGACGCTTCAGAGCTCAGATGTGCTGCTTCTCTTGCTCTCAGTCTACACTTCTGGGGGGTTTGGTCGGCCCATTCCTTGCATTAGTGCCATACTGGTATGCCTGACCCCACGCGGATGGAGACGTTGCTTTTTTCAGGGCGAGCGACATTGCTTTCCTTGCGGAGCTCATTACCGCAGCTGTCGAAGGCGCGCTCTTGCTAGCGGAGGTCTCCAGTCGCCAAGTTTTTAGGCGTCGACCTTCGCTGTCTCACGAATGTTCGGCGTTCACGCTTGCCGACGCTTTTACCACGCGGAGGCTGAACCGACTCGGACTTGCGAGGCACATCCACAGTCATTTGAGCCGGTAGCATACTCGTTCAGAGGCCCAACGAACAGCTTTGTCCCACCAAAGAGAGGGTGCGTGGGGCGGGCTGCGACACAGCGAGTGTGAAACAGGGATGCCGCGGCATGAATGGGTGGAAGTGCGAGGCGCTATGAGAACAAGCAAAGCGAGTGTCGCTTGGGACAGCAAGGCTAGCTGCACGGCTGGTACGGTACGTCGCATGAAGAACACAGAAGCAGCTCCAGAACGCCAGTGTAGAAGCAGAAACTAGTTGTGGCCGGCACTGGGCTCCTACTCTGGAGTTGGTCGGTGGGAACAGAGGTTCGCGGAGTGGATGGTCGGTGGGACCAGGTGCTGATACAGAAAGCTTTCTCCTGCTCAAGTGTCGAGGTCTCGATGTGTTGGAAAGCGACAGCGCCATCTGGCGGCGGACTGAAGCACAACGAACTTTCAAGTCAGTGCTCCGAACCACCCGAAACACAGCTTGCGCATCTTATCATTGGCCGTCGACAAAGCCAAGCTGTAGTGCCGTGCTGTATCCTATCTGTGGGACAGACTATTGTTCTCATCCTTGCAAGGGTCGACCGCGATAACGCTGACTTTCGCTCTCTCTTCCTCTCGCTTATTTTTCATACCAAGCATCGCTACCGTAATTGCTAGCGTCTGGAAGCACGGACCAATTGCTAGGTTTGAAAGCACAGACTCGCTGTGACAAATTCCGTCCGCGTGTGGCGCAGAAGCTTGCTGTTCCCGTAGAGCGTGCTAACGTAGCGAGAAAGTCGCGCAATCGGCCGGAAGACCAGGAGGATTTCTGTCCTCTGTGTAAAGTCCAGCGCGTTCGAGACAGGGATGGGCGGCACAAGAACAAGTCAAGTCAAGGAGCTTGGGGCGACATGATGAGCCTTCAACGTTGGTCTTGGACTACTGAATAGGCCTAGGCCTGAGCGAGGTTTGAACACTACGACGACCGCAGCATTGCAAACAAGGAGCTGTCCGTGAGTCTGAGACTATAGACTGCTATAGAGAAATTGGCGAGGTAGAGTCATGACTCTGACGCTGTCACGTATCACTGTTCGGGCACAGCAGCTCGACTCGACGCTCGCACTTGCCATAATGCCCGTCTTACTCAGCTGCTGCAAGTAGAAGCCTATTATGACAGATGTGCTCTGAGGCCATGCCAGGCTCTCGAAAAGCTCGGGTTGTTCCGATCTCACCAGCCGCTCCTGCGCCCATCCATACTTCGAAGCTCAGAGCCGGCGCAAAGCAACGTGGTGGATCGCTCGCTATTGCCCTGCAGCAGTCTTTTCTTCCGGCGACCAGCTCAATTGAAAATTGAAGGTCTGGGCTCGCATTCGGAAGGAATTAAGAATGATGGCTACACGTCGGATGCGCTTTCGCGCCTATGTTTATCGACACGTGTTGCGGATAGCAGTCTCGCAACGGGCAACGAGCAGCGGTTCCTTCACTCGATCAAAGCGACCGATGCAACTCCGACACCCAATCCGGTGCCTATCCCATGATGAGTAGGAGACCAATCGTCATCGCCGAAGTTGATCGCATTCGCAGCTGGAGGCTCTCCGTCTTCGATATGTTCAATGAGAAACGAAAAAGACGAGATGCTCACCCCGCATTCCGATCATTGCGTCTCTGTGAGCCGGCTGAATGGTGCCTACCCTTCAGGTTACAAGACCTCGCAGAGCTGCTTCAAATAGTAAAGGGTGCGTCGAAGACTGGTTGCTTTCGATTTGTGTCTGCCGCTTAAGTCAACGTCGATTTCA